CCATTCGTAATTATACACGAAATCGCAATATGGGTGGAAATAGGGATAGATGTTGGGGTTGACGAAATCGGTACCCCAAAACGTCACTTAAGTGGCTATCCGGAATCAAAGAGTTCAGCAAGGTCTAAAGAACGAGTGACAAGGCCTTGCTATTTCAGCTTGCGTTGCTTGACCAATCATAGAAGATCCAAGTTAGGCCCGATTACCCTAATTCTTATTAAGCGTCTTTTCACTTCTTCATTGGCAACGCGGTTTTTGTATGACACTTTTTGCAGTTTCCGGAAGCATTTCATCTCACCAGTTCTTAATATTCCTTTCTGAAACTGGCAGATCTTTTTTTTTTTAATCCCTGGCCCATTCCTATGATATTGATGCCATCTGATCAGTAGAAAAATGTGCGCATGGTAGTGCCCAACAATGTATTACGTACATAATTGCTAAAACATTTTACTGTTATATGTAGATGTTCAAGATAATTATAGGTGTTTGTGAAGGCTCAGAGAACAATGATGATTTTAGAAATGACGGTGGTGGCGGTGATAAGTGATGATATGGAATGGTGTTCATGTATATAATTATTAAGAAGACATTTGTTTTTTATTTTTAGATAATGTTAGCGTTAGTCCTATCTTCCTCGCTGCTCTAATGGGTCACGAGGGATGTGGGCGCCCGCTATCCCATTCTCTACTAGAACCATCTTTAATGCCACCGTGAAGTTCCGAAATGGTGGGCACAGTCTCTGCTAAGGTTACCTTGTTAGTGTTAGCCTATTCTATCGTGTCAAGACAAGTGAAGAGAGGAGCTTAGTAGGTAGACAGTACAGTGGCAGGTATGTTGGGGATTTCATAAAGGGGGTTGTCGGTAGCAAGTTGACAACCAGGTTATAGACGTAATACTTATTTAAACATAAAGTTGCGGAGATTCCGACACAGGATCATTGAAACCGAGTCGAGAGGGAACAATTTACACACAATATTGTATCCCCTCAGGGAACAATTTACACACAATATTGTATCCCCTCAGGGAACAATTTACACACAATATTGTATCCCCTCAGGGAACAATTTACACACAATATTGTATCCCCTCAGGGAACAATTTACACACAATATTGTATCCCCTCAGGGAACAATTTACACACAATATTGTATCCCCTCAGGGAACAATTTACACACAATATTGTATCCCCTCTGGGAACAATTTACACACAATATTGTATCCCCTCAGGGAACAATTTACACACAATATTGTATCCCCTCTGGGAACAATTTACACACAATATTGTATCCCCTCAGGGAACAATTTACACACAATATTGTATCCCCTCAGGGAACAATTTACACACAATATTGTATCCCCTCGCCTCAGTGGGAGCGAAAACTGGCAGATGTAACACAGACATCGGTCATCATGATTCTCCACATTCATGTCTCCGCTCGGATGTTCTAAAAAATCCCACATTATCTTGGTGTTTCCCCCTTCAACCATAATATGTTCTAGTCTTTTAAATAAGTTTCCCTGAGTCTTGTTTAGTTTTAGTAGAGATTTTACGGCGCTCGCAACTGCATAAGGTCACATGAGCGGCAGAAGATTAGAGGTGTTACAAGAGAGTAACAAACATAAAAAAGAAGAATGGGAGATAAGGACGATATATGTTTAATAGGAAAGACAAGTTTCAAATGTTATTATTTTTCTTTTTTTTTTGTGTGTGTGTGGGTGGATTACTCTCTTCTACGGCCCCTTAATCAAATTCATATTTGATCGCTTTTAAGCTCAAGGGGCTATCCCGAAAAATAAAATGCTGTTTTTAGAAAAAAGAATGTAAAGTTTTTGTCCCTTGTTCAGTTACTTTAATTGACAAGGAGAGTTTTGTGGCGTCGGTGGCCTAGTGGTTAGGCTCTCGGACTCGCAACCGTAAGGTCGTGGGTTCGAATCCCGTCAGGACCCGACGTTGTGTCCTTGGGAAAGGCACTTTGCACAATTTTTCCTCACTTCACACAGGTGGAAATGGGTACCCAGCTATAGACAGTAAAAGATCTTGTCAGTTTGATGGTGTTTGAGTGCGTGAAATCCGCAGCTTGCACTGTATGCTTCCGCGGAAGCTGAGAATGTTTCTGAGTGTTCTCAGAGGGTCTGCTGGGGTAATAATAGTTGTAAAGCGCATAGAGCAAGCTCTTGAGTATGGATATGCGCTATATAAATGCAATTATTATTATTATTATTATTATTATTATTATTATTATTATTATTATTATTATTATTATTATTATTATTATTATTATTATTATTATTATTATAATTATTATAACCAAACAAATTTACACACCAATGAAATCAAACTTCTCCTATAGGTAGGACAATATCCACTTTTGATGTAGGTCAAAATTTCTGAAAACCCCCGAAATCTGGGTTAGCCCGCTTGTCATTAAAAGCGACAATTTCTTCCCCCAAATTCTCTGGTTTATTCATGTTTTCCTCAGCTTTCAATTACTTTATCGCTTACTTCAATAGAACAGTGTTCGATCGCTCGACACGATGAAAGGAGAAACATTCGTCTAAGATGGCGTTCCCAGAGATACAACTTCGGTCCCTGGTTGGATTCAAACTCACGACATTTTGCAGTTGAGAGTCCAAGAAGCTAACCGCTAGACCACCCACGCAATGTTCAGTTGCTCCCCTAAACGGCTTTAAAAGACTTTGTGAAAAATTGAATCGATTTGAAGGGTACTTGTTTTTGTGAGAGGTAAAAAAAAAAGACATCGATACAGTAATTGTCATTTAGTGCTGAGAAAAAGTGAGATTGACAAACCGAAACAATAGAGGAAAAGTAAAGAAGCAGGACCTACAAGCAGCACCCTCCAACCACCCACACAGACAGAAACAACAGAGGAAAGGTAAAGAAGCAGGACCTACAAGTAGCACCCTCCAACCACCCACACAGACAGAAACAACAGAGGAAAAGTAAAGAAGTAGGACCAACCAGTAACGCCCTTAAATTCAACCACCCACCTGAAGGGTACAAGAGAGAAACGAGAGGTGACAGATTCTGGCTAATTACAAAATTATTTGAATTGTCATGTGGGTTGAATCAATGTTTCCACACCTCATCTAATCTGGTTTCATCAAAGTGTCCATTGAGGGCTACCACCTGATGAGTCGCGCAACACCAGAGTGCGAAAGAAACATAACAGTGGCAGCCCATCTGGCGCACGAGCGAAGAATTACCGCTCCCTATAGATAGATGGATAGATAGATGGATGGATGGATTGATGGATGGATGGATGGATGGATGGATGGATGGATGGATGGATGGATGGGTGGATGGATGGATGGATAGATGGATGGATGGGTAGATGGATGAATGGATGGATGGATGGGTCGATGGATGGATGGATAGA